TATATATATATCTTCAATTAAAAAAAATTTTTACTATGAAAATTTTCTAAATTAAATTTTCTTGCTAGCTGATATTAAAAATCTTTTCTTTAAAATAATTTTTATTAAATTTTTATATTTCTTATCAATAAGAACCAGATTTGTATACACATGTGTGTTATTTTCCTTAAATGTTATGATGTTGAAATCTTTTTTGATATAAACATGATTTGGGTCAAAGTAAATCAAATTATGGTTGTCTAATAATGCATATTTTGCAGATTTGATCATTTTTGGGAGTAAAGAAGGATTTTTAAACTTTATAGCTTGTTTGCATGATTATAAGTGTTAAATTTTAGTATTTTTTTTCTATTCTAAAAGTCCTTTTCTGTTATCTATGCAGTATCTTTTTTGTGCTTATATAGTTTATGAGAAATATCATTCCATTATCCAATTACATCTGAGTGGGCAAAATTCAAATATTTTAAATTTGAGCTGTTTAATTCACATTTTTTTAGTCCCACAAATGAGTGTGTTTGCATTGCCATGGAAATCTTTTATTTTTCAAATTTCTTTGAATTAATTGGATTAAAATTATTGTAAATGTTATATTTATTAATTTAATAATGTTAAATTTAAATCTTTCAAAACCTTGTGTAAATGTATTGTTTATTTAAATATACGAGAGAAAATTTCCTGTGAGTAAAGTAGTCAAATTTCTGCATATGGAACATGCACAGAAAAGATTTTGTTATAATGAGTTTGATTCAATCAATAATATGAGTAAAACAGCAAAACTAATGCTGAATTGCTAAGAAAGTATGTACAACTGTTCTTGTAAATCCCAGAAAGCAACCTAGACATTTAAACAGATGGAAAAATTGTTTATTGTATTGTAAGTCACAAATTGTTTCCTGCTAAAAAAAAATGGTTTCAAGCATCTTAGTATGTTGAAACATCCTTACATCAGCATAATGTGAAACATAAAAACAAGCTAAAACAGCAGTTGATCATAAGTAAGTTCTAGTTACACTAAAACTAACTTTAACAGAGTTTGTGATATTAGTTAAAAACAAAACATTACTATCAATTTTGACACTAAATATGTAATTAGTTAATAACTTAATAAGAATGTTTACTCATTTCTCATCATTTGTACAAGGCCACAAATAAGACTAATATATGACTACTTTATACTGGTAACATAATTATAGGACAAAGGAAACTAGGTTAACCCAGTCATCCTCCAACATCTTATAAACAATTGTATATACAGAAATAAATTCAATAATGATTGATTATATAGGATAGAAAGTTACAAAATTTTATTAAAAGTAATTTTATTCATAACTAGCATGGATGTTGCACTGCCTACATAAAACATTATTCTAATACATGTCTTGTGACATCATAATTTTCAAATCCTTTTGTGTCACCTACTGTCACATGTTTATCTCTTCCCACCTAAAAAGTGTGACATAATAGACATTAGTAAGATTTGTTCACAGACAGAAGTAAAGTATGCAGGCTTTTCAATCTGCAAATTTTAGTGTATAATAGTTAAGATTCTAACATGCATAATAAATATTTCAAGCATTTTATTGTGTCTGTAACATTGCATATATCTGGCATTTTTACATGCATATGTATTCACATATATTGCAATTTTAACTTAATATAAATTTGATCTTTACTTATCAATAATTGATATCAAATTACATTTATTGTTTCTAGTATTTAATAAAATAGTATAGTATACATTTGATTTAATACAGATTAATTTTATAGAAAATTATATTAATTACATACAAAATAGTCTAATATTTAATTCAAATAGCAAATTAATTCATTTTTCGAAAATTTTTATTTATTTTATTTTACATTACATTTTTCAATTTATGAGAATATTCATATAAATAAATTGTGAAGAAACGGTTTTTGAGTTGAAATCAAAGTTTTCTGACTAAAACTCTGAAAAATAAAAATTTGTTTTCATTTACCTGTGTTATAAGTAGGTGTTCTTATTGACCATTCTTTCTCATCTAGAACAATTTGAGGATGCGATGATGCTTCTTCTTGTAAATCCCACAGAGCAATAGATCCATCTATCTAATTTCATAAATGTAAATGAAAATAAATGACTAATGTTAATATAACAATAAATATATGTTTAAAAATTAAATTATTTTGATATTAACCATTCCTGCAATAACAATATCAATGTTTTCTGGACCAAAACAACAACAGCTTGGTTGACCATTAGATGTTAATATTCTATATCAAGCCAAATTACAACAAAAATTAAGTTTTCAAAAAAATAAATATAAAAAAGTAAAAATATAATATTCAAAATATATTCAAAAATTGTTAACTACCTTTCTGGTTTTAATGGCTGATTAATATTCCAAATACATATAATACCTTTTTCATTTAAGACAGAATTTGGTATCTGCTGCCAAAAACAATGACAAATAACTATCATTTGATTACTTTTAAAAATAAAAATTAAAATGTTAATAGCATCACTTACATTAATAGAAGTTGAATGCACTGAGAGTAAAAAATTGGTTTTTATATTTGAAAAACTGAGATAAGTTATTGGACTTTCTGAAAAAAACAATTAATAAATTAGGAAAGTTTTCAAAACTATTGATAAAAAATTAACACCAGTAGACAAAATAAAAATTAAAACTTGATTTTTCTATCTTAATTTGAAAGACTTAATATAGTGAAGTTGGAACATAAATTACTGTAAAAACTTTTTAAAATAAATTATAATTTCTACATTTAAACCTATTTAATTCTTTTATTAACCTAGTTCAAAAAGAATCAAAAACATAATAGATTTCATGATAATTTCAGCCAATTAAATTGAAAAAGGATTTATTAACATTATAATTTTGTTACTAATAATATGATGTTGTACAGTAAAACTTTCTTGATATTACAATCCCAAGACTTAGAAAAACTAGTCACCTCAAAAGGTGGTCTTATCAAAGGGAATGACAAAAATATAACAAATACAGATTACTGTATTTACTATGTCCAGTAGTATTCTAGTGCAATACTACACAGGCTACCATGCAGGCAATACAGAAAAAGCTGTTTAAAAAAATGCTATGTATTGATTAACATTATACTGCAAGAAAATTTTTTTATTAATACATCACATATAATTCTGTGTACTGTACATGAAAATGTAATGCACATGTTCTTTAATGTTTGATTTAAAGTAATATGAAATAAACATTTGTTTTCTCTGTTTTAACTTTTTTGATAAGATGATGGCTTCAACATTTCTTTTCTATTTGGTCAAACAGATTCCTCTTTTAGGCCAAATGAATTCCAAAAACTGCCCAAATTCTATCCAAATTTATTGTCATCATTTGTATTTTATCTATCCCTGTTAATGAAACGATTAAATTCATTAGCTTTCTTATGTTATTTAGTTTAATAAGAATAAATAAAACATAAAAATAAAACATAGGCTAACTTGTTGTTATGGATATTAATAGCAAATTATGTATATTTACCATAATAGAATCACATAGGAGAAAACGAAGATATTGAAGTAAGAAAAAATAAGATAAAAATAAGTGATTTACATGGTAAACGAGCCCCATGGTTTAGATTTTATCCCATCTGGAATGATGAAACTGTTCACAATTTCACTCAAAAGGATTATGAATCCAGATGGTCATTGGTTGGGTATAAAAGTGGTTTGCTTAAGGAGGTTTAAAAACAATGAGTCTAATAGTGATTGGCTTAAAGATATGGTCATCTGAAGAGGTTTTACTGTATATCAATTATAAGAATAATTAAATTATTTCTTATTTCATTGTTTAATAAAAAAATTATCCTAAATAAAACAGCATACAATAATCAGTTATGCAAATTAAATATAAAATATAACAATCTATATCAACTAAATAAAATGTAATACTGTATTTCTGATAACTTTGATAATGCAAGAAAATTTAATAAGCAAGTTATATCAAAACATAATTTTCCAAAGTTGTAGGAATGAATAATTTGACTTTATTTAAATCATTTCTCATAAATTATTATTAAGGTTAGCTAATTTCAATAAGTTTCAAGATTTATATAACATTGCAAATTAATTAATTTCTTAATCTGATTAAATTCACTTTAATCTTTCCTGCATATAAACATTAATATTCTTGATATCGACCTTTAGATGTCTCAAATTTGAAACAATTTTAAAATAATTGAATTTAAAATAATCTTATGTTTAACTTAATAATTTACTTCAAAAAATAATTTTAAAATTAAGTTTATAAAATAAAATATGTAAAATAATTTGCAAAATTTCTATTTAGTGTTCTATTTTTATATTTTATAAATTTTGCAATCATAAATTATAACATGCTTACTTAATTATGTTTAAATGTATTCTTAAAAAAAAAATTTTAAATAGCAAATATAAATTACCTGCCAAAAGAGATAATGAACCAGTCTGTATAAATCCTTGACTAAAATTAATATTTGTATAATTTTCTGAGAGTTTTTGTAGATTAACATCTGCTAATTCTTCTTCTAAGACATGTAAGATCATCTAAATCAATTAAACATAACTTTTTGTTTATTAAAAATTCATCTATATATTTGAATTGTATAAATTTACATACTTGACCAACATTCTGGACAAATTTATTTAAATAAATAGCATCAGTTTTCAACCTGGAATTCCAAGTAACATTTTTAGAGTTTTCTTCTTCTAAATCACCTAAAAATATAACAATGTTTGTTTCATACATCAATATAAAATAAAAATATACCATACACTTAAGAGAGTCTTATTTTGTTAACTATGTGGAACTAGGTGGAACTATGCAATCTCAATATTGATTTGTCACAATAACATTCTTTTTTTCTTTCTTTATTCTACAGGTTGGTCCATTTAATTAATCAATTCACTGGAATAACTTGAAAAATATGCATCTTGCAGAAAATTCATTAAACCAAAGATGTTAGACTGATTGTAGTACCAACCAACTTTACTTTCTTAAATGGGAACCTCTAGTTTTTATAGTGCATTGTGCAATAACATATTTTCATGCAGACACCACATTGCAAACAGCTTGTACAAAATGTGCCACAGAATTGTGAGACATTTCCAACAGAAAATTGACTTACACATTTAGGAAACTGAAAATGTCATTGAACATCGTTTCCAACAGGAGAAAACTATGAAAGACAAGGGAACTCATGTTAATTAAGCACTCTGCTAAAAGTTTAATTAATATAAAAAATGTATTGAGAAAATTTAACATGACTTCAAGTTGAGCTTGAGAACAGATTTTAAAAATTAACCAAGATCAACATCTCTTTATCACAAGCATGATGGCTTTAACACAGTGTGGTATGAGTTTTGATATCAGTTAATTTTTTAAGAAAAAGATTGATTCCATCAAATAATAATTTCCTAATGATATATTTAGCATTTTTCTTCCTATTTTCAATGAATTTCACAGATATCCATAGATACATGTGCAAAAGATATGGCAGCTGTGTAAAAGTTGAAATACTCATAACTTCTGATAAGAACTGTACATCTTTTGAAAAAATGTTTCAGATAAAAGTTAGATTCTACATAGAAAACTTGTTTGTTTTCTATGTAGAATCATAATACGCAATAAAAAAGTGGGAATTTCCATTTAAGAAAATGAAACTGACACCATTTTCACTGATTGTACCACTATTTATGATAAAACTGATAGAGCCATTTTGTGATCCCATTGAAGTTTAACATTTTTGGTTTCATAAAGTTTTTGCAGGATGTATATTTTTTAATTTATTCCAGTGGATTGATTAAAATGAACTGCCCTGTACATGGAGCTCAGAGCTTTACTATTTCATTTCTTTAGTATTTAATAACATTTGATTAAATTTAAATTTGAAATTAAATAAAAAATTTCATTTTACTTAGTTTTTGAATAAAATTTTTAAAAAATTACATTAAAAATTTTATTTATGGAATTTCAATAACATTTAATAATCAAATACCAATATCATTTTAAAAAATACATTTAAGTTGAAGCTAGTATTAAAAATAATATTTGTCTTCTTTGATGTCCTTCTGTACCCAGTAAGGACATATTAATATAAGTGTTTCTGGTGTGTACAAAAGAGTATCAAAGAAGACAAAAATTTTATTTTATTTTTGCATTATTTTTAATTTTAAATATATTCTTTAAAATTATTGTTAAATTAATTTAAAAATTTTATATTTTTACAGTCAATTATCGTTGCTAAACCAATTAATAAGATTTGATAGAAAACTTTGTCTCCCAATTTATAAATGAATTGCTTACCAAACTCTAGTTGAAAAATTAAACATTTCTATTAAAAAAAAAAAAAAAAGACTATTATGATATTTTTGTGATGTTATAGTATAAGCTTATAATCTGGCACTTAATAATCTAAAATGTACTGTATGTAAATTCTTTCCCATATGCCAATGCAAAGATAGTGCACCTAAAAATAGATTTCTCATAGTAAGAGCAGATATAGATTTTGTAATATACAGTGCATGTCTAGAAAATAAATATATGCACATTGTAAATGTTGGTTTTGTGCAATAAACTATTCATTAATATTTTTGAAAATTTTTCAATAAATCTTAACACTCATAGTCATGCACTGTGTCATATTCAGACTGATTAAAGTGTGTGGTGTGCATAAACAAATCCAAAACATACAGCAGTGTATGCTGGTACAAAATGTACAGTAATATCTGCAATATTCAGATTATAGAAAACATCAAATTTTGCAAAAAATATAAAGACGTCTCATAATTTGGCATTTTTGATAAACTGACACCACTCTGATACCATAGGTGTCAGATTAACAAACTTCTACTGTATTTGTAAAATTATGTTTTGCTTTAAAAAGTTAAAATTTTTAAATAAAATTCTAAGCCAAAAGCACCACTTTAAACTATACTTGTTTAGAAATTTGGAAACAATTTTGTTTTTGTGTTATCATGATCATTAATAACTTATGTAACCACAAATATACATTAGTATAATATAATATATATATATATTTTATATTCTTGTATATTATATTATTAATGAAATATATATATATCTATTTCATTAATAATATAATATACAAGATACAAAATATATATCATTGCTATTTCTACAATTACATTTATGTTTACATATAACCAACTGCAGATTCTTATTATATATTCCATATCATTTAAATACCTCCAAAACCATGTTGATCATTAGGTGGAATTTGTGTCCATTTTTCTCTTGAATTTATCTCATCAGTTTGAATTTCTTCATCATGACCATATTCAGTTTGAACAAATACCTAATAATTTGGAAAGAAATTAATAATAAAATTTACTTAATTCAAAGACTAGTAATTAGGAATATATATTGAAAGTTTATTATATTTACTTGTTTTGTATTGGATCTGCCAAAACGACGTATATAAACATCATACTTTACTGGAGGTAATTCAAAGAGATCGAATGTCATTTGATCAAGAGTAATGATTTCTAATAGTTCAGTTCCTCGCTTTCTAAAATAAATCAGTGTAAAAAAACAAGTTTTTCAAGCATATTTTTAATTAATTCATAAAATCTTGAAAATTTTATAAAAAGTACTAGTTATACCTTAATTTATTTGAAGCTTTTTTCCTTTCTTGTTGTTTTTGAACAGTTTTAAAATTGATGAATGTTCGTGTATAATTCTGAAGCTGGTTTACTTTTTTTGGAACTTCCCAATCATTTCCATATGGCTGCTCTTCATAATACCTACTACTTTTACTCTAAAATTGAAAATTTGTTTTAATTGTCATTTTAAACATACTAACAAAATAAAAATATATACTTTTTATACCCTCTTCAAATAGTTAAATGGATTATCTTCTTCAGTTTTCAAATTATTTTTATGTTCACTTTCTTCTATCACCGTTTCAGTTTTATCATTATTAATTTTATCATCATCAATGTCTGAATTTATTTTTTCACTTTCTATCTCATTATCATCATTGTCATCATCATCATCATCGTCATCCTCTTCAAAATCTGATTCATAATCCTTTAAAAAGAATATGAAAGTATTAAATAACAAAATAGTATATTCTTTTTGAGTATAACTCTTAAATTCTAATTAAATATTAATAATTTATATGCAACAGAAAAAATGTTTCAGATAAAAGTTAGATTCTACATAGAAAACTTGTTTGTTTTCTATGTAGAATCATAATACGCAATAAAAAAGTGGGAATTTCCACAATAATAATTTCAGGACTTTTATTTTCAAAATTTGATATAAATTCTTATATTTACAAAATATAATCACTGAACTTTGCATATTTTGACAAATTTATTCATTTAAAACTTATTAGATCAAGGTGTCTTAATTATAACTCAAGAATGATACTTAATGTGATTGAAGAATATTAAGCCAATGAGATGATTATTATTTTACTTTTAAAACTGTGAAAATTCAAATTTTTTAAATTACTATTGTTAATTTAATAATTTTACTAAACATTATTCTACATTGAAGAGATGCTTTATTAATTAAGCAAACTAAACAATAAATTCTTATAAAAACTATTATAAATAACAATTTCTAACAATAGAAAATCTTAAAATGGATATATTACTTCAAAATCATCTTCATAATTATAATCACTTCCATCAGAATTTTCCTTTAAAGTGTTCTGTAATTTATTTTCTTTAACAGTTTTTGGAGACAGATAAGATGACTGCTAGAAATGAAAACATAAATAAATTTAGTTTCATTAAAATTCATATCTATACACTGTTTTCCTCATTAAATCCCAGATTTATTTTTAAAATGTACTGTTCATATTCCTCAGGGTTTATTTGAAGTCCCTTGGTTTGTCTTATAACAGGCGATGAGTGAATACAAATTGAAAGAACTACCTTAATTACTCATGCATTTTTAAAACTATCAAAACTGTTTATTGACTGTATTTATGAGCTGCAGCTAAATTTGAAATAATTACTGTTTTTATAGTTAACTTGATTCATCATATTCTGATTTGATTTTTAAGCTGTCATTCATGTCTATTTTGATGTTGTTGTCAGAATCAAGATCTTTACTATCATCTTCTGGTTTAAATTCACTATCTTCAATTTGAGTTTACCTAATCAATCTTTGGATGAGCTCTTGACTTATGAATTCAATTGCAACTCTCCTAAACTCAATATTCAACAATATTTTAAAATTTATTGCCAAAATTGTTCCAATTAACCTTGGAACAGAAAGTGCTGTTCAACTTTAGACAATTTAAATAAGTACAGTTTTAATTAGATTTTTTACCTGTCACTCTAAACTACATTATCCAGTACTTTGCAGTACTTCAATGTGTTGTCCATGCTTTTCAACCTGGGGTTTATTTGAGACTGAGATTTATTTTTACCTGCACCTTTATTCCTAGGATTTATTTAAAGACTGGGATTCAATTGAGAAAATTGGTATATTACATACAACTACTGACAAAAACATTGAAATCAAAGAAAGTTATTCAGTTAAATTTTAAATATAACACCATAAGCACAAACACAATAAGAAACTATTGTGTTTGTGCTTCTGGTGTTATATTGCATTGAATATAACACCACAATGCAATTTTCACTATAAAAATATTCAATGCAACTGCATTGAATATTTTTATGGTGAAAATTATCAAGTTCCTCATTAAGCTACACAAAACATTTTCTTACCACAAATGCATTGGCTGATATTGCTTTATTTATAGATATATAAACAGAAAAAGCTAATATCATATTTATATAGCAAAACAGTTTTAAATCATTTATTCAAATATGCATATTTCTTTAAAGCTAGAAATTTCCTTTAGAAAATATTGACATAATTTACTGAATTAAAATAGTGAATATAAAGTATGTATTTGTAGCTAATAATTTAATTAACAATATTCAAGTGAAATTATGATAAAAGTAAAACAACCATCACATCATATGAGAGAGAATAATTACATATAAAAAAAAAACAAAATAAAAAAACAACACCAGGACCTCTCACTATTTTGAGAATATCCAATTGACTTGTTTCCAAGATTGGGTTTGGCTTAATTTGATTATGGCAACATGACACATAAGCAATCTGACGAGGAGAATGGTAAGCTGGCCCCTATTTAGGTGTTACTAATGCGAAGAGAATCCAGAAAACCCCACATGGCCAGATGGTAAGGTATGAACTTACAACCAACTACCAGTGTTCAGTGGTTTTATACGCTCAGCCATTGGTGGGCTCTCCAAGATTGGGAGTTAATTTAAATAAAAATGATGATAATCAATCATTCATAAAATGTAAAATTATGAGAAACGAAAAGATAGATATCTCAAACAAATTTTTAAAAGAGTGAGCTCAATTTCTAAAGACATCAATATTTACTAAGGTGAGACAGAGAGAATTATTTCTGACAATGTTGTTCATAATCACCTTAATAATAAAGGATTCAAATTTTCTAAAAAATAAAAATAAAACTATAACTCACCAAGAAACAGAAATCAAATTATTTAAAGTAGCAAAGATGACAAATGATATTTTTTAATATCTCTCTAGACAATAGCAGATTCAGAAATTTTTAGAGGGGATGCAGAAAAGAAACAATTTGCCTTACAAAATGTTTTACTATCTCACTTACCAGCTTTACTCAGAAAAGCTTTACAGTATCCTGTGCATCCTCCTATGACTTATCATAGAATTAATACCTTTGAGTGAAACCTCACCACAAAGTTTAGGTTTGAACACATTCCATAAGACCTAAGTAAATTTCAATATTTAAATGTTTGACCAGTAACCTGATATGGTTAATGGTCTAGCAATTATATGTTTTTAGTGGATGATAACTTCAGCAACCAGCTTAGCCCATCACTTTTTAACATAGGAGACATTTATCAGTCAGACTATAGTATTATCAGTGGGTTTATCCTTCCACTTCAAACCATATAAAGTTATACATATCATCTACCTGCATACCTCCCAGTATACTTGAATATGTGTTTGTAACATGCTTTATTAAAGAATGATGATGCACATCAAAATTATGAAATGATAGTTAAACTTACTGATATTTTAACATTTAAGTCAATTTATCAGTTCATTATTAGTATGTTTTATAATTTTTTCAATATCATATACATTTTCCAGAAAATTAACAGATTTTTTTCAGTTTCCCTGATAATTCCACAAAATTTACCCAATTTCCCTGACATATCCAGGTTTTCCCAGTTTTCTTGGTTGCTCGGCACTCTGATTCTTAATATTTTGTTTGAACATAATTATAAATTTTTTATCTTCAGAAATTTTTCAAAAAATAAAATAAAATGTATTTGTTGTAAGGTGAATTATTTTGTATAACTTAGCAATCAACCTGACTCTCTCTTCATCCACTGAAAATATTAAATACAGAACAACTTCTATTTATATCTTTAAATATTAAGTTTGAAAGTTAATAAAATAGTTGTGCTGATCCAAACTCTTTTGTCACAGACTGTATTACTTAAAACATATAAATTAATTAAAAAATAAAAATAATATATTATTTAAGGCAGAAGCCTTATTTTNTGTGTGTTATTTTCCTTAAATGTTATGATGTTGAAATCTTTTTTGATATAAACATGATTTGGGTCAAAGTAAATCAAATTATGGTTGTCTAATAATGCATATTTTGCAGATTTGATCATTTTTGGGAGTAAAGAAGGATTTTTAAACTTTATAGCTTGTTTGCATGATTATAAGTGTTAAATTTTAGTATTTTTTTTCTATTCTAAAAGTCCTTTTCTGTTATCTATGCAGTATCTTTTTTGTGCTTATATAGTTTATGAGAAATATTCCATTATCCAATTACATCTGAGTGGGCAAAATTCAAATATTTTAAATTTGAGCTGTTTAATTCACATTTTTTTAGTCCCACAAATGAGTGTGTTTGCATTGCCATGGAAATCTTTTATTTTTCAAATTTCTTTGAATTAATTGGATTAAAATTATTGTAAATGTTATATTTATTAATTTAATAATGTTAAATTTAAATCTTTCAAAACCTTGTGTAAATGTATTGTTTATTTAAATATACGAGAGAAAATTTCCTGTGAGTAAAGTAGTCAAATTTCTGCATATGGAACATGCACAGAAAAGATTTTGTTATAATGAGTTTGATTCAATCAATAATATGAGTAAAACAGCAAAACTAATGCTGAATTGCTAAGAAAGTATGTACAACTGTTCTTGTAAATCCCAGAAAGCAACCTAGACATTTAAACAGATGGAAAAATTGTTTATTGTATTGTAAGTCACAAATTGTTTCCTGCTAAAAAAAAATGGTTTCAAGCATCTTAGTATGTTGAAACATCCTTACATCAGCATAATGTGAAACATAAAAACAAGCTAAAACAGCAGTTGATCATAAGTAAGTTCTAGTTACACTAAAACTAACTTTAACAGAGTTTGTGATATTAGTTAAAAACAAAACATTACTATCAATTTTGACACTAAATATGTAATTAGTTAATAACTTAATAAGAATGTTTACTCATTTCTCATCATTTGTACAAGGCCACAAATAAGACTAATATATGACTACTTTATACTGGTAACATAATTATAGGACAAAGGAAACTAGGTTAACCCAGTCATCCTCCAACATCTTATAAACAATTGTATATACAGAAATAAATTCAATAATGATTGATTATATAGGATAGAAAGTTACAAAATTTTATTAAAAGTAATTTTATTCATAACTAGCATGGATGTTGCACTGCCTACATAAAACATTATTCTAATACATGTCTTGTGACATCATAATTTTCAAATCCTTTTGTGTCACCTTTACTGTCACATGTTTATCTCTTCCCACCTAAAAAGTGTGACATAATAGACATTAGTAAGATTTGTTCACAGACAGAAGTAAAGTATGCAGGCTTTTCAATCTGCAAATTTTAGTGTATAATAGTTAAGATTCTAACATGCATAATAAATATTTCAAGCATTTTATTGTGTCTGTAACATTGCATATATCTGGCATTTTTACATGCATATGTATTCACATATATTGCAATTTTAACTTAATATAAATTTGATCTTTACTTATCAATAATTGATATCAAATTACATTTATTGTTTCTAGTATTTAATAAAATAGTATAGTATACATTTGATTTAATACAGATTAATTTTATAGAAAATTATATTAATTACATACAAAATAGTCTAATATTTAATTCAAATAGCAAATTAATTCATTTTTCGAAAATTTTTATTTATTTTATTTTACATTACATTTTTCAATTTATGAGAATATTCATATAAATAAATTGTGAAGAAACGGTTTTTGAGTTGAAATCAAAGTTTTCTGACTAAAACTCTGAAAAATAAAAATTTGTTTTCATTTACCTGTGTTATAAGTAGGTGTTCTTATTGACCATTCTTTCTCATCTAGAACAATTTGAGGATGCGATGATGCTTCTTCTTGTAAATCCCACAGAGCAATAGATCCATCTATCTAATTTCATAAATGTAAATGAAAATAAATGACTAATGTTAATATAACAATAAATATATGTTTAAAAATTAAATTATTTTGATATTAACCATTCCTGCAATAACAATATCAATGTTTTCTGGACCAAAACAACAACAGCTTGGTTGACCATTAGATGTTAATATTCTATATCAAGCCAAATTACAACAAAAATTAAGTTTTCAAAAAAATAAATATAAAAAAGTAAAAATATAATATTCAAAATATATTCAAAAATTGTTAACTACCTTTCTGGTTTTAATGGCTGATTAATATTCCAAATACATATAATACCTTTTTCATTTAAGACAGAATTTGGTATCTGCTGCCAAAAACAATGACAAATAACTATCATTTGATTACTTTTAAAAATAAAAATTAAAATGTTAATAGCATCACTTACATTAATAGAAGTTGAATGCACTGAGAGTAAAAAATTGGTTTTTATATTTGAAAAACTGAGATAAGTTATTGGACTTTCTGAAAAAAACAATTAATAAATTAGGAAAGTTTTCAAAACTATTGATAAAAAATTAACACCAGTAGACAAAATAAAAATTAAAACTTGATTTTTCTATCTTAATTTGAAAGACTTAATATAGTGAAGTTGGAACATAAATTACTGTAAAAACTTTTTAAAATAAATTATAATTTCTACATTTAAACCTATTTAATTCTTTTATTAACCTAGTTCAAAAAGAATCAAAAACATAATAGATTTCATGATAATTTCAGCCAATTAAATTGAAAAAGGATTTATTAACATTATAATTTTGTTACTAATAATATGATGTTGTACAGTAAAACTTTCTTGATATTACAATCCCAAGACTTAGAAAAACTAGTCACCTCAAAAGGTGGTCTTATCAAAGGGAATGACAAAAATATAACAAATACAGATTACTGTATTTACTATGTCCAGTAGTATTCTAGTGCAATACTACACAGGCTACCATGCAGGCAATACAGAAAAAGCTGTTTAAAAAAATGCTATGTATTGATTAACATTATACTGCAAGAAAATTTTTTTATTAATACATCACATATAATTCTGTGTACTGTACATGAAAATGTAATGCACATGTTCTTTAATGTTTGATTTAAAGTAATATGAAATAAACATTTGTTTTCTCTGTTTTAACTTTTTTGATAAGATGATGGCTTCAACATTTCTTTTCTATTTGGTCAAACAGATTCCTCTTTTAGGCCAAATGAATTCCAAAAACTGCCCAAATTCTATCCAAATTTATTGTCATCATTTGTATTTTATCTATCCCTGTTAATGAAACGATTAAATTCATTAGCTTTCTTATGTTATTTAGTTTAATAAGAATAAATAAAACATAAAAATAAAACATAGGCTAACTTGTTGTTATGGATATTAATAGCAAATTATGTATATTTACCATAATAGAATCACATAGGAGAAAACGAAGATATTGAAGTAAGAAAAAATAAGATAAAAATAAGTGATTTACATGGTAAACGAGCCCCATGGTTTAGATTTTATCCCATCTGGAATGATGAAACTGTTCACAATTTCACTCAAAAGGATTATGAATCCAGATGGTCATTGGTTGGGTATAAAAGTGGTTTGCTTAAGGAGGTTTAAAAACAATGAGTCTAATAGTGATTGGCTTAAAGATATGGTCATCTGAAGAGGTTTTACTGTATATCAATTATAAGAATAATTAAATTATTTCTTATTTCATTGTTTAATAAAAAAATTATCCTAAATAAAACAGCATACAATAATCAGTTATGCAAATTAAATATAAAATATAACAATCTATATCAACTAAATAAAATGTAATACTGTATTTCTGATAACTTTGATAATGCAAGAAAATTTAATAAGCAAGTTATATCAAAACATAATTTTCCAAAGTTGTAGGAATGAATAATTTGACTTTATTTAAATCATTTCTCATAAATTATTATTAAGGTTAGCTAATTTCAATAAGTTTCAAGATTTATATAACATTGCAAATTAATTAATTTCTTAATCTGATTAAATTCACTTTAATCTTTCCTGCATATAAACATTAATATTCTTGATATCGACCTTTAGATGTCTCAAATTTGAAACAATTTTAAAATAATTGAATTTAAAATAATCTTATGTTTAACTTAATAATTTACTTCAAAAAATAATTTTAAAATTAAGTTTATAAAATAAAATATGTAAAATAATTTGCAAAATTTCTATTTAGTGTTCTATTTTTATATTTTATAAATTTTGCAATCATAAATTATAACATGCTTACTTAATTATGTTTAAATGTATTCTTAAAAAAAAAATTTTAAATAGCAAATATAAATTACCTGCCAAAAGAGATAATGAACCAGTCTGTATAAATCCTTGACTAAAATTAATATTTGTATAATTTTCTGAGAGTTTTTGTAGATTAACATCTGCTAATTCTTCTTCTAAGACATGTAAGATCATCTAAATCAATTAAACATAACTTTTTGTTTATTAAAAATTCATCTATATATTTGAATTGTATAAATTTACATACTTGACCAACATTCTGGACAAATTTATTTAAATAAATAGCATCAGTTTTCAACCTGGAATTCCAAGTAACATTTTTAGAGTTTTCTTCTTCTAAATCACCTAAAAATATAACAATGTTTGTTTCATACATCAATATAAAATAAAAATATACCATACACTTAAGAGAGTCTTATTTTGTTAACTATGTGGAACTAGGTGGAACTATGCAATCTCAATATTGATTTGTCACAATAACATTCTTTTTTTCTTTCTTTATTCTACAGGTTGGTCCATTTAATTAATCAATTCACTGGAATAACTTGAAAAATATGCATCTTGCAGAAAATTCATTAAACCAAAGATGTTAGACTGATTGTAGTACCAACCAACTTTACTTTCTTAAATGGGAACCTCTAGTTTTTATAGTGCATTGTGCAATAACATATTTTCATGCAGACACCACATTGCAAACAGCTTGTACAAAATGTGCCACAGAATTGTGAGACATTTCCAACAGAAAATTGACTTACACATTTAGGAAACTGAAAATGTCATTGAACATCGTTTCCAACAGGAGAAAACTATGAAAGACAAGGGAACTCATGTTAATTAAGCACTCTGCTAAAAGTTTAATTAATATAAAAAATGTATTGAGAAAATTTAACATGACTTCAAGTTGAGCTTGAGAACAGATTTTAAAAATTAACCAAGATCAACATCTCTTTATCACAAGCATGATGGCTTTAACACAGTGTGGTATGAGTTTTGATATCAGTTAATTTTTTAAGAAAAAGATTGATTCCATCAAATAATAATTTCCTAATGATATATTTAGCATTTTTCTTCCTATTTTCAATGAATTTCACAGATATCCATAGATACATGTGCAAAAGATATGGCAGCTGTGTAAAAGTTGAAATACTCATAACTTCTGATAAGAACTGTACATCTTTTGAAAAAATGTTTCAGATAAAAGTTAGATTCTACATAGAAAACTTGTTTGTTTTCTATGTAGAATCATAATACGCAATAAAAAAGTGGGAATTTCCATTTAAGAAAATGAAATGAAACTGACACCATTTTCACTGATTGTACCACTATTTATGATAAAACTGATAGAGCCATTTTGTGATCCCATTGAAGTTTAACATTTTTGGTTTCATAAAGTTTTTGCAGGATGTATATTTTTTAATTTATTCCAGTGGATTGATTAAAATGAACTGCCCTGTACATGGAGCTCAGAGCTTTACTATTTCATTTCTTTAGTATTTAATAACATTTGATTAAATTTAAATTTGAAATTAAATAAAAAATTTCATTTTACTTAGTTTTTGAATAAAATTTTTAAAAAATTACATTAAAAATTTTATTTATGGAATTTCAATAACATTTAATAATCAAATACCAATATCATTTTAAAAAATACATTTAAGTTGAAGCTAGTATTAAAAATAATATTTGTCTTCTTTGATGTCCTTCTGTACCCAGTAAGGACATATTAATATAAGTGTTTCTGGTGTGTACAAAAGAGTATCAAAGAAGACAAAAATTTTATTTTATTTTTGCATTATTTTTAATTTTAAATATATTCTTTAAAATTATTGTTAAATTAATTTAAAAATTTTATATTTTTACAGTCAATTATCGTTGCTAAACCAATTAATAAGATTTGATAGAAAACTTTGTCTCCCAATTTATAAATGAATTGCTTACCAAACTCTAGTTGAAAAATTAAACATTTCTATTAAAAAAAAAAAAAAAAGACTATTATGATATTTTTGTGATGTTATAGTATAAGCTTATAATCTGGCACTTAATAATCTAAAATGTACTGTATGTAAATTCTTTCCCATATGCCAATGCAAAGATAGTGCACCTAAAAATAGATTTCTCATAGTAAGAGCAGATATAGATTTTGTAATATACAGTGCATGTCTAGAAAATAAATATATGCACATTGTAAATGTTGGTTTTGTGCAATAAACTATTCATTAATATTTTTGAAAATTTTTCAATAAATCTTAACACTCATAGTCATGCACTGTGTCATATTCAGACTGATTAAAGTGTGTGGTGTGCATAAACAAATCCAAAACATACAGCAGTGTATGCTGGTACAAAATGTACAGTAATATCTGCAATATTCAGATTATAGAAAACATCAAATTTTGCAAAAAATATAAAGACGTCTCATAATTTGGCATTTTTGATAAACTGACACCACTCTGATACCATAGGTGTCAGATTAACAAACTTCTACTGTATTTGTAAAATTATGTTTTGCTTTAAAAAGTTAAAATTTTTAAATAAAATTCTAAGCCAAAAGCACCACTTTAAACTATACTTGTTTAGAAATTTGGAAACAATTTTGTTTTTGTGTTATCATGATCATTAATAACTTATGTAACCACAAATATACATTAGTATAATATAATATATATATATATTTTATATTCTTGTATATTATATTATTAATGAAATATATATATATCTATTTCATTAATAATATAATATACAAGATACAAAATATATATCATTGCTATTTCTACAATTACATTTATGTTTACATATAACCAACTGCAGATTCTTATTATATATTCCATATCATTTAAATACCTCCAAAACCATGTTGATCATTAGGTGGAATTTGTGTCCATTTTTCTCTTGAATTTATCTCATCAGTTTGAATTTCTTCATCATGACCATATTCAGTTTGAACAAATACCTAATAATTTGGAAAGAAATTAATAATAAAATTTACTTAATTCAAAGACTAGTAATTAGGAATATATATTGAAAGTTTATTATATTTACTTGTTTTGTATTGGATCTGCCAAAACGACGTATATAAACATCATACTTTACTGGAGGTAATTCAAAGAGATCGAATGTCATTTGATCAAGAGTAATGATTTCTAATAGTTCAGTTCCTCGCTTTCTAAAATAAATCAGTGTAAAAAAACAAGTTTTTCAAGCATATTTTTAATTAATTCATAAAATCTTGAAAATTTTATAAAAAGTACTAGTTATACCTTAATTTATTTGAAGCTTTTTTCCTTTCTTGTTGTTTTTGAACAGTTTTAAAATTGATGAATGTTCGTGTATAATTCTGAAGCTGGTTTACTTTTTTTGGAACTTCCCAATCATTTCCATATGGCTGCTCTTCATAATACCTACTACTTTTACTCTAAAATTGAAAATTTGTTTTAATTGTCATTTTAAACATACTAACAAAATAAAAATATATACTTTTTATACCCTCTTCAAATAGTTAAATGGATTATCTTCTTCAGTTTTCAAATTATTTTTATGTTCACTTTCTTCTATCACCGTTTCAGTTTTATCATTATTAATTTTATCATCATCAATGTCTGAATTTATTTTTTCACTTTCTATCTCATTATCATCATTGTCATCATCATCATCATCGTCATCCTCTTCAAAATCTGATTCATAATCCTTTAAAAAGAATATGAAAGTATTAAATAACAAAATAGTATATTCTTTTTGAGTATAACTCTTAAATTCTAATTAAATATTAATAATTTATATGCAACAGATCAATTATTCTTATTTGATAAATTATTTAAATAATTTGAATTGAATAATAAGGCCCTCAGATTTATTATTGTTTGTATTTTTTCTTTGGAAAAAATACAAACAATAATAATTTCAGGACTTTTATTTTCAAAATTTGATATAAATTCTTATATTTACAAAATATAATCACTGAACTTTGCATATTTTGACAAATTTATTCATTTAAAACTTATTAGATCAAGGTGTCTTAATTATAACTCAAGAATGATACTTAATGTGATTGAAGAATATTAAGCCAATGAGATGATTATTATTTTACTTTTAAAACTGTGAAAATTCAAATTTTTTAAATTACTATTGTTAATTTAATAATTTTACTAAACATTATTCTACATTGAAGAGATGCTTTATTAATTAAGCAAACTAAACAATAAATTCTTATAAAAACTATTATAAATAACAATTTCTAACAATAGAAAATCTTAAAATGGATATATTACTTCAAAATCATCTTCATAATTATAATCACTTCCATCAGAATTTTCCTTTAAAGTGTTCTGTAATTTATTTTCTTTAACAGTTTTTGGAGACAGATAAGATGACTGCTAGAAATGAAAACATAAATAAATTTAGTTTCATTAAAATTCATATCTATACACTGTTTTCCTCATTAAATCCCAGATTTATTTTTAAAATGTACTGTTCATATTCCTCAGGGTTTATTTGAAGTCCCTTGGTTTGTCTTATAACAGGCGATGAGTGAATACAAATTGAAAGAACTACCTTAATTACTCATGCATTTTTAAAACTATCAAAACTGTTTATTGACTGTATTTATGAGCTGCAGCTAAATTTGAAATAATTACTGTTTTTATAGTTAACTTGATTCATCATATTCTGATTTGATTTTTAAGCTGTCATTCATGTCTATTTTGATGTTGTTGTCAGAATCAAGATCTTTACTATCATCTTCTGGTTTAAATTCACTATCTTCAATTTGAGTTTACCTAATCAATCTTTGGATGAGCTCTTGACTTATGAATTCAATTGCAACTCTCCTAAACTCAATATTCAACAATATTTTAAAATTTATTGCCAAAATTGTTCCAATTAACCTTGGAACAGAAAGTGCTGTTCAACTTTAGACAATTTAAATAAGTACAGTTTTAATTAGATTTTTTACCTGTCACTCTAAACTACATTATCCAGTACTTTGCAGTACTTCAATGTGTTGTCCATGCTTTTCAACCTGGGGTTTATTTGAGACTGAGATTTATTTTTACCTGCACCTTTATTCCTAGGATTTATTTAAAGACTGGGATTCAATTGAGAAAATTGGTATATTACATACAACTACTGACAAAAACATTGAAATCAAAGAAAGTTATTCAGTTAAATTTTAAATATAACACCATAAGCACAAACACAATAAGAAACTATTGTGTTTGTGCTTCTGGTGTTATATTGCATTGAATATAACACCACAATGCAATTTTCACTATAAAAATATTCAATGCAACTGCATTGAATATTTTTATGGTGAAAATTATCAAGTTCCTCATTAAGCTACACAAAACATTTTCTTACCACAAATGCATTGGCTGATATTGCTTTATTTATAGATATATAAACAGAAAAAGCTAATATCATATTTATATAGCAAAACAGTTTTAAATCATTTATTCAAATATGCATATTTCTTTAAAGCTAGAAATTTCCTTTAGAAAATATTGACATAATTTACTGAATTAAAATAGTGAATATAAAGTATGTATTTGTAGCTAATAATTTAATTAACAATATTCAAGTGAAATTATGATAAAAGTAAAACAACCATCACATCATATGAGAGAGAATAATTACATATAAAAAAAAAACAAAATAAAAAAACAACACCAGGACCTCTCACTATTTTGAGAATATCCAATTGACTTGTTTCCAAGATTGGGTTTGGCTTAATTTGATTATGGCAACATGACACATAAGCAATCTGACGAGGAGAATGGTAAGCTGGCCCCTATTTAGGTGTTACTAATGCGAAGAGAATCCAGAAAACCCCACATGGCCAGATGGTAAGGTATGAACTTACAACCAACTACCAGTGTTCAGTGGTTTTATACGCTCAGCCATTGGTGGGCTCTCCAAGATTGGGAGTTAATTTAAATAAAAATGATGATAATCAATCATTCATAAAATGTAAAATTATGAGAAACGAAAAGATAGATATCTCAAACAAATTTTTAAAAGAGTGAGCTCAATTTCTAAAGACATCAATATTTACTAAGGTGAGACAGAGAGAATTATTTCTGACAATGTTGTTCATAATCACCTTAATAATAAAGGATTCAAATTTTCTAAAAAATAAAAATAAAACTATAACTCACCAAGAAACAGAAATCAAATTATTTAAAGTAGCAAAGATGACAAATGATATTTTTTAATATCTCTCTAGACAATAGCAGATTCAGAAATTTTTAGAGGGGATGCAGAAAAGAAACAATTTGCCTTACAAAATGTTTTACTATCTCACTTACCAGCTTTACTCAGAAAAGCTTTACAGTATCCTGTGCATCCTCCTATGACTTATCATAGAATTAATACCTTTGAGTGAAACCTCACCACAAAGTTTAGGTTTGAACACATTCCATAAGACCTAAGTAAATTTCAATATTTAAATGTTTGACCAGTAACCTGATATGGTTAATGGTCTAGCAATTATATGTTTTTAGTGGATGATAACTTCAGCAACCAGCTTAGCCCATCACTTTTTAACATAGGAGACATTTATCAGTCAGACTATAGTATTATCAGTGGGTTTATCCTTCCACTTCAAACCATATAAAGTTATACATATCATCTACCTGCATACCTCCCAGTATACTTGAATATGTGTTTGTAACATGCTTTATTAAAGAATGATGATGCACATCAAAATTATGAAATGATAGTTAAACTTACTGATATTTTAACATTTAAGTCAATTTATCAGTTCATTATTAGTATGTTTTATAATTTTTTCAATATCATATACATTTTCCAGAAAATTAACAGATTTTTTTCAGTTTCCCTGATAATTCCACAAAATTTACCCAATTTCCCTGACATATCCAGGTTTTCCCAGTTTTCTTGGTTGCTCGGCACTCTGATTCTTAATATTTTGTTTGAACATAATTATAAATTTTTTATCTTCAGAAATTTTTCAAAAAATAAAATAAAATGTATTTGTTGTAAGGTGAATTATTTTGTATAACTTAGCAATCAACCTGACTCTCTCTTCATCCACTGAAAATATTAAATACAGAACAACTTCTATTTATATCTTTAAATATTAAGTTTGAAAGTTAATAAAATAGTTGTGCTGATTCCAAACTCTTTTGTCACAGACTGTATTACTTAAAACATATAAATTAATTAAAAAATAAAAATAATATATTATTTAAGGCAGAAGCCTTATTTTGAAAAAAGGAACAATGTTTGCTTTCTCTTTCATTTAAATTAAATTAAAATAAATCAATTATTTTATATAACAAAATGTATTAATTAATATAATAATAATACATATATAATAAAATAAGATAATTTTGATAAGTTTTTGAATTACCTTTGATGTGGACGGAATTTCCTCATAGTCATTTAATGCATGTCTTTTCTGCACTTTCTCTTTTAATATCTGAATTTTTAAAAATAATATGTTAGTAAAGTACATATAAAGTTTGAATTATTCAAGAAAAAAAAAAATTGAGAACATTAATAAATGAAATCCATATGAATTTTAAACAAATTTCATTTATAATTTTAAACTATTCTAAATATTATTATTTTAATGTGAACAGAATTATTGATAATATCAATAAACTAAAATCAAATGTGTTCATGAAGATTAAAAATTAAATTATAAAAAATATTAGCTTAAGCATTTGGTGTTGGCCAGGCAAACGCAATGAAGATGCTATAATAATATAAAAGTTTGTTATAATTATATAATGATATCCAATACATAATAGTCCATATAAGTACATTCAATAATATCACAGGTACTCTAGTTAAATCATTTTAAACAAAAATAAAAGAAAAGCATAACATTGTTGAAGGGAATAAACAAAAACTTTTTTGCCATAAATTGTGCCATGACCAATCGCAATGCCATCACTTGAATTTATCCCTTCTTTACACAATACAAAGTCTCACTTGATGTTTAATGGCATATATATAGAGTTTTTAAAATGTGAAAGTAGAGTTATCTAAGGATCTGAGCCTAGTGAATGAAATCAGTATTGGTTTATAGCCAGATTTCCGGTAGTTGAATGAATATATTCTTAACTTAGATTCAGCATACTTTAAAATAAGCTGGGCTGAACTTCAAAACAATAAATAAAAAATAAATTCATTAGAGTTAGATGATCTATTGCAGCAAGAAGCAAAATTGTAAAATGGAAAAAGATTAACTGGTTCTCTACTTTTGAAGAAGTAAGAAAATATGGTCTGATTTTTGCTTAATGTTTTGCTAAGATAAATTGACTTTCTGACGAATAAGATTTTATTTTACTTTAAAAAGTTCTACATCCAGAATTCAATCTCATGACTTTTGCATTATTTTAGCAATGCTTTAACCAATGAAACCATAATTATAATTGCTAATGTCTTAAAATTTTTATCAAATATATTTAATTCACTGTTTATTTAATTTAATCAATTTTATTTAGACTGTAAAAGTCAAAACAACAATTTTCAAAAAAAAAATTAAACCAGATATTTTATAAGTTATTTATTCGTTTTTTTTATAATTTTAAATCAGCTATATTTTTTAATACTTTAAAATTTAGCCTTTATTATGAACTTTAGTAAATCTGTTCTCAGTTAAACCAAATGAAAAACATAAAATAAAACAAAAGACTTAATACTTTGTAGAAGACAAGGTGGAAATATTTTCAATTATAATAATTATTTTTAGAATTTAGGATTCCAAATTCTCCTCAATATCAAATTTAAAACAAAAATCTAAATTCCAAAATTGTTAATACTAATTAAAAATATTTCTATTTTGGTTTCTAAAAAGTATTAAGTGTTTTGCTTTATCATAAATGGTGATTCAAAAAGGACTTTACAACTTTGGAAGTATATAGAACAGGGGTCGCCAAAGTGGTTGATATAACATTATTGGGGGGTCGATTATCAAGCTTATCTGTCTCACTGATTGTCAGTTACAAAAATTATTATTAACAAATATATAATAAATAAATAAAAATGCAAAATTAAAAGAAATGTATTAAAATAGTAAGTGCTTTTTTTTGCTTGTAACACAAACTTTTTGGTGGGGGGGTCAATATGAGGTTTCGAAAACTTGTAGGGGGTTGACAATCAAAAACGTTTGGTGACCCTTGATATAGAATTTCAATCAAAAGACATAAATTAAATAAACCAATTCTGTAGTAAAACACATCAAGTTTTACCTCAAATAATCATTTTGATTCCATGTGAGCAGGAGTGTCGTTTCCACTATGGAAAGTATGGAAGACTTCATAACTCACATTTTTGCAGATATGGAATTCCATACCTCAGAATATTGAAAAAATTATTTATAATTTAATGCAAGGCAAGCCAACGCACTTGCTCTCAGTATGAAAACAAATTTTTTCCTTGGATGTTGAGCAATCAAACTCTTACATAATCCAAAGTATCAAAATTTTTCTATATTTTTTAAAAGAGCATATTTTGAATGCTTGAATTATAAAGTTGAAAAGCTTAACAGCATAGTTTATGGACCTATGGGGTTTAAAAGGTTGTGTTATGGGGATTATGGGGTTTAAAAGGTTGTGTTATGGGGATTATGGGGTTTAAAAGTTTTAATTGTAAGTCAGGGGATTTAAACACTTAGGTTATTGAGTGGGGGGTCCTACTTTCACAAAATTCCATACCTCAACTGTTAAAGAACCGACATCCCTAAATGTGAGCATCACTGATGATATGGCAGACATCCCACTTAAATTCAATTTCTTGCCAAACTCAAAGTAGAAAATCTATTGTAACTGTGATGATTTGAGTTTTGAGCTCACAAGATTTGCAGGCAAAGTTGTTGGAATAAATATTACATCTTATGAAACCCTAAAAAAATTTGAAAGGGCCAATAACTTGGCTATTCGTTTTCACTTCTGACATCTGTCGAGTTTTCCTTCTGGGGATTCATTAAAGATCTAGAGTTTATTCCACCCTTGTCTGAAAATCTTGCCAACCTCAAAACTCAAATTACTATTGCAGTTATTGAGGTGACAACAGATATCTTCTTTAATTTTGGCAAGAAAGGGATGTCTGTTGTTTCACAATGGTATTCACATTGAACTAAATGTCAGTTTGAGGCAAACCTTGATATGTTTTGCTTTAAAGTAATCTTTAAAGTAATCTTATCTTAACTGATTCTGTAAATCTTCTGATTAAAACCCTTTACATTTTTCTGCTGTAAGTTGTAAAGTCCTTTCTAAATTTCTCTGTTTTAAAATTTAATTATCATTAAAAATATATTTTAAATTTAATATCAAGAATAATATAGAAAAAATATGTGAAGACCAGAATTATAGTAGTATAAATATTCTTGTTAAATGGGTTTTCTGTCATAACCAGGTAGAAACAAGAAAATGATCACTACTTGAAAATTTGAATGTGCTTTTGAAAGGTTTCAATCTAGATCTAGTATTTGCCATATTTATTGAAATTACACAGGCATAAAACATATAAACATAGATAGAAAACATAACAATATTTTCTAAATTTTCTGACAGAATTGAACACAGAATCAGGTAGAGAAAGTTTCTTCTTTTACATGCTGAAAAATTTCCTATTGAAGTGAGCCATTAGGAGAAGTTTTGAAGAAGGATGTTCACTCTAATCTTGAGGTTCTAACTTACTTTAATTAATTAATTAAAACCCCTTAAGGACTTATCCCAAGATAACTCGGGCAGGTTTTTTGAAAATAGGTTTTTTGATAACTTGGGTTGGATTTTTGAAAATAGGAGGAAACAAAAGATGTTTAAATCTAAACTTGTTGTAAGATTTAATGTAGATATTTGAGATTACTTATTAAAGTCAATTGGTTTTAAACATATTTTACTTTGGATAACATAATTAACTGTTAAAAATACAAGTTTTCTTTCTGACTAGTTTAGTTTAGTTTAGTTTATTGAACATAATAGGCAGTCGCCTGTTACAAGGGGGTACATGACGATGAAGAAAGATGGAAAATAAACATTCAATAACAAAAATTAAACATATATCCGCTTTAGAATAACATGTAGTATTTAAGATTTTACATTTAAGAGTCTTCTTACACCATTATAGCAATTGTAAATTTCATTAGTGGTGGCTAGATTGAATTTATTGTACATATGATTACCTAAACTTTGGCTTTTATTTTGATCTTCAGTGATCTTTGATTCTTGATCTTATTTTTCACTTCTCTTAATATTTATCACTTCAATATCCTGAGTAATGGAACATTCTACAACTCTAAGCAATAACTGATTAATATAATGATTATTATTTCTGAAATAATCAAAAACTAAATTGATGGAAAATCCATAGTCATTAAATATGTGAGACAATTGAGCAATCCAATTCTGAGTTAAACAAGTCCATCTGTCATCTTTTTATCATTAGAAGGTGCAAGATATGTGACTATAATTCCTAAGTGATATTCATTAATCTCAGAATTTAATTTTTTTTTTCCTTTAATTTAATTATTGCCACTATATAATTCAACGTAGTGTGTAGGTAAATGATTGATCCAAAAAACTTTTTTACCAAAAGTAAAATTCCACCAGAAGGACGGCCGTATTTACTTACTTTATGGGCTTCACTAAATACTATATAATTATCAGCTTCAAAATACTCTTTTTCCATTGAATTAAGTTCCTTAACCAAGTCTCAGTAAATCCGACTATCACATTTAAATTTATAAATGATTTTGCTTTGAGCGCATGTAACTTAGTTTTTAAACCTTAACAATTCCTAAATATAATTAAAGTTTTAATATATTTCATTTATTTTATATCTTCACTGTGATTGTTACTATCAAGGTTGTAATCATCGGCATCATCATTATCTTTTTTGAATGTTAACCAAATGTTATCACCAGTGTTATACTGTTTAATACACCTATCGGTTGTTTTGTGCATAGAATCTAGTCTGCTTGATATAAAAAATGGTCGATTGGAATAATTTCGTTAGTGTCCATATCCAAAGAGTATTTGAGATTATTTTTAATAAAGTAATCACCCCTAACAATTAATTTGGTTTCAGCTACAAATTCTGTCTTGATTTTCTTAATCAAATTTTTTCTTCTAATTCTGGATCTATAACATAAATCCGACTTCATAATAATGTTAGCAGTTTCATTAGCAAATTTGGATTTATTCCGCCAAAATTCCTTGAGAATAAGATTTCTATCGTTAACTGATGCCAGTTCTATTTTTATTATATTATTAATAGAGTTACTTTTCCCCAGTGGAATTAAATGATCAATTAAAATGTTTTTTAAATTAAGCTCAACCTCAATAAACTCAATGAACTCTTTCAACTTGTCATTTGATTTAAAAGGAAAATTAATCACTATCAAATTCGTATTGTTGTTTTCATTAGTAATACTGTCCAATTGGAATTCAAACATACCTTTCAAATGTA